AGAAGGATTTTCTTGTATGCAATCTCATATGTTTATTTGTGTTTTTGTTGCCCACACATTTGGGGTCACATCCAAGAAATTACTGCTCAGACCAATGCCATGGACCTTCCCCTCTGCTTTTCTCTAGTCATTTTAGAGTTTTGGGTGTTATGATTAAGAATTTATTTATTCATATACTTACTGGGATATGTGTGTATGTATGTGTGAATGTGTACCTATATAGATATCAAGTCTCTAGCACAAACCACTATCACAGGCATTTAATTTTAATTTATTTTCATCTTATTTGAAAGGCAAAGGAGGCTGAGAGAGAGAGAAAGAGAGAGGGAGAGAGAGAGAGGAGAGGGATCTCCCATTTTCTAGTTCACTCCCACAGTGCCCAAAATGGCCCAGGGGCTGAAACTAGCAATCAGGAACTCAATCCAGGTCTCTGACAATGGTGGCAAGAACCCAGTTATTTGAGCCATCACCACTGCTTATAAGGGTCTGCCCTGGCAGGAAGCTGGAGTCAGGAGCCCGAGCCCTGATGTGTGACATGGGTGTCCGAAGCACTAGGCCAGATGCCATCGTTTAGAAGGTGCGTGGCACAAAGACACCGTCTCCTTCTGTCCTGTGTTCCCAGTGTTTTGGCTGTGACAGGCAAAGGGTTTTGTGTCTTGTGGTATGGATCATGAACGGGGCCTCTTTCTCCTGCTCCTCCCCTGAGTGTGTGGGTTCTGAGTTGTGTTCCTGTTCTTTCCTGTTTTTTTTTTTTTTTTTTTTTTGACAAGCAGAGTTAGTGAGAGAGAGAGACAGAGAGAAAGGTCCGCCCTTTGTTGGTTCTCCCCCATATGTTCGCCACAGCCGGCACGCTGCGCCGATCCGAAGCCAGAACTCAGACGCCTTCCCCGGTCTCCCATGTGGGTGCAGGGCCCAAGCACTTGGGCCATCCTCCACTGCCCTCCCGGGCCACAGTAGAGAGCTGGACTGGAAGAGGAGCAACCGGGACAGAATCCGGCGCCCCAACCGGGACCAGAACCCAGGGTAACAGTGCCGCAAGTGGAGGATCTGCCTAGCGAGCCATGGCGCCAGCCCATGTCCTTTCTTGAGAGCATGTCCCCCTCAGAATTCCCCCCAGGTTCTCTGGGGAGTTGTTGAAGTTCTCAGAGTTCTGATTGTGCCTCTGTGGCTCAGCTCCCTGCATGGCCGTTTCATCTGCTTTCCTGTAGCAGGGAGCTTGTTGGGGTCTCTCTTGCTACTCCATGTTGTGCAGCTGGGGCTGCTGGAACAGAGCACCACAGGACGTGTGGCTCAGGCAGCAGAAATTGCTTTCCCATGTTTGGAGACTGGGAAGGCCGAGAGCACGGTGTGGCAGAGTGGGTTTCCTGCTCGCTGTGTCCTCACTGGAGGAGGCCTAGGGGAACTCTGGTGTTTCTATCTCTTCTTATCATGGGAGACCCCACCCTCCTGAGCTTAGCCACCCTGGCCACCTCCCAAAGGCCTCGCCTCCTCACGCCCTTGCCTTGGGGTCCAGGGCCTCAGGACATGGGTTTTAGAGGGACAGACAGTTCAGTCCATGGCAGCGTGCATAGAATTTGCTGTCTCTGCAGTGTTTGACAAACCATCGGGAAGTTCCTTTGGCTCGTGCTGGTGCTTAAGAAAACATTCTCTTTATGTTGTTCACAAGCAGGCTTAGCACTGCGCGCATTAGCAACGGAGACAGTCAAGGGGACGTCTTACCAGGCTTCAAGCATCAGATGTGGTGGATATTCTCGGTTTGTGGGGTGTTCTGTGCCTCTGCACTGCGTGTTCCTCTCAGTGGGCAGTGGGTAAACAGATCCCGACTTCTCCCCCATAAGGGAGTTGGGCATAATGAGTGGTGCCCAGGGCCGGGGTCCTGGGCAGACTCGGCAGTCAGACTCCCAGTGGAGTTTGTTTATGAGCAGCAGGGGGCAGTACCACCCATGTAATGTCGTTCCCTAGGAACAGCATAGAAGCTTCCAGTGGACATCTGAGCTGTGTGGGTTCTGGTGGCACCTTCAGTGCTCGATGCTGACCTGCTTGGTGGTGTGGTTGCCTTGGCGTCTGTCATGGGAAAGGCTCAGGCATTCCCTCTGCCATCCTAAGTGAAGAACGAAGTGGCAGTTTGTGGCTCACATATGGGAACACCTTCCTCTGTCTTTTGAAATGAAAGCAAATCAGAAGTAGCATGCTGGATACCCTGTGGTTTGTGAATGCAATGAGGGAGCCACACACATACATGGGACAGGACATGTGTGTGTGTGATGCCCTCCTTGCTGACCATGGTTAACAGAAGTGCAATGCTGATTGTTTGCACAGAAAAAGGCAGAACAGGCCAGTGTCATGGGAGAGCAAGGTGGACAGCCAAGGCCCTTGGGGATTTTGGTCCAGGCTGTGAATTATCGCTTGCAGTTCCACCGGTGCAGTCAGGAGGCCACCGTGAAGCCCTCGTCTAGGAACAGCTTCAGGCTCGGGGGCAGAGTCTCATCTGTGGCCTCCTGCAAGCAGGAGTTGACCCTGCAATGGCTGTCAGTCTGCCCCTCTCAGAAGCATTTATCTGTGGAGCACATGTGGGCCCCATTTGCTCCCTGGCAAGGACTCACATGGCTCACAGGCTTCTGGAATGAGGTGTTGCTGTTTGCAGCAGAGAACAGGCTGCTGCATACCTCATGGGGGAGTCCATGGTGCGGTGCATGAGGCTGTGCTGGGCTCTTTCTTCCTGTGATTCCTGTTCACTCTCCCAACAACAAGTGCAGCAGAGAGCAGGCTGCTGGATGCTGTGGGGGCCCGGAGGGAGTCCATGGTACTGGGCATTGTTTTATGCACTCTCCCACCAACAAGTACAGCAGAGAGTAGGCTGCTGGATGCCGTGGAGGCATGGGGGAAGTCCATGGTATTAGGCATCATTAGGTGCCCTCTCCCATCAACTCTGTAAGGTAGATACTTGTATTTCAGTCCCCGCTCAGTAGAAAGAGTTGGAAAGACTGTTCTTGATTAAAGATAGAAGAGAGAGAAGAATCCAGTGCTATGCACTGTCCTTTTTTTTTTTAAAGATTTATTTATTTATTTGAAAGCCAGAGTTACAGATAGAGGTAGAGACAGAGAGAGATCGTCCATCCACTGCTTCATTTTCCAGATAGCCGCAGTGGCTGGAGATGCGCTGATCCGAAGCCAGGAGCTTCTTCCTGGTCTCCCAGGTAGGTACAGGGGCCCAAGGACTTGGGCCATCCTCCACTGCTTTCCCAGGCCATAGCAGAGAGCTAGATTGGAAGAGGAGCAGCCGGGACTACAACTGGCACCCATATGGGATGCCGGCACTTCAGGACAGGGCTTTAACCTGCTTTTCCACAGCGCTGTCCCACGCTGTCCTTAATCATATAAGTTCTTGGAAAAATAGAATGAAAATAAACTTATTTTGGTGCAAAAAAATGGAAATCCAAGAATAGATGTTTTTCATAAAATTCATTTTCCATGAACTTCCTGAAGACACTCTTTGTATTCTGAATTAAAAGAAAAGGTTAAAGATATTTTAGGAACGATTGGAGAAATTTAATGTATGCTGTACTCGACCTGATGTTGCTGTATAATCACATCTATACTGAGTGTGATTATGAAAGTGAAATCATATCAGAATGCTTTTGTTCTTAGGAAACATGCAGGTTAGTTATGGGTAAAAGAGCATCATGTCTGCATTTGTTTGATATAGTTCAGGAGACATAGAGACTGTGAAAGTGAAGTAAAGTGAATGTTGAATTGTTCCAAAATAGTAATTGTAGATAAAGAGTTGATGGATGGCTATTTGTACTCTTTTCTATGTAATTTAAAAACGTTTTTTGTTTTATTTCAGGGGAGGAAGAGAGATAGGGAGGGAAGGAGGGAGGGAGGGAGAGAGAGAGAGCAGAGAAGTCTTCCATCTGCTGGTCCATTACTCAATTGGCTGCAATGGGCATAGCTGAGAGTATTTGAAGCCAGGAGCCAGGAGCCTCGCTGAGATCTCCTCATGGGTGCAGAGGTACAAGGACTTGGGGCGTCTTCTGCTGCCTTTGCAGACCACAGCAGAGAGCTGCATCTGAAGTGAGTGAGCACCCATACTCGAACTGGCGCTCATATGGGAAGCCGGCACTTCGGGCGGTGGCTTTACTCACTACCTCAGAGTGCCGACTCTCCCAGAAGCCGTTCACTGTGGACTCCAGCTGTCTGCTAACCTGCTTGGGAATGCAAAGGGAGACGGCCCAAGGACTTAGGCCCCTGAACCCAGAATGGAGTGCCGGCTAAAGTCCCTGGCTTCTGCTTCAGCCCCTGGCTTCTGTCCAATCCCGGCCTTTGTAGCCACCTCGGGGGTGAACCCCCAGATGGACAATCCCTCAGAGAGAGAGAGAGAGAGAGAGAGAGAGAGCGAGCGAGCGCTGGCGATGTCCCCTGCACTGCTTCTCTCCCCAAGTGGCTGCAACGAACGGCCAGCTGTGGGCCAGGCAGAAGCCAGGAGGCAGGAGCTCCATTTAGGTCTCCCATGAGGCAGGGAGGTGGGGTCCAGAGAACCTGGGTCATCCGCGTCTGCGTCGCTGGTTACAGCCTGGAGAGGCAGGACTGGAAGAGGCCTTGGGGCTTCGGACACTGGATGCCGCAGTGTACAGGTGCGTCCTGGGGTGCCATGGTGATGGCCGGTGGGTAGTGTGCCTGCGCCTGGCGCCGGTGACCCGGAAGTGCACCTGCACGTTGGCGCCAACTGCCCCGTGGTGTTCATTTGGGAGTCAGCGCCGTGTCCTCTCCTGCTGGACAGCCTGCGCAAGCCGTGAGGAGAGGAGCCGTCCATGACACTGCTGGCCGAGCCTGAGGGAGACCCAGCGGCCCCAGGGTCAGGCCGGGATCAGGAGAGGCTGCGTGTCCTAGGCTGCCACGCCATTTCCCAGGCGCATTGCTCTTGTTTGGCTCCTTCCGGAAGCAACGGCCTTCGCGGACCTCTGACCCGGAAGCAGCCGGGGCCACCGTTGGAGGTGAGTGACGCGCGGCTGTGGCGGTTACCCGCTGGGCGTCTTGGCTGTCCGCGTGCCTGTTGCTCTTGCGTCCTGAAGGCGCAGATGGAGTCGCGGTCGTGCTGTGCGGACGGTCTGGAAGGGTCCCCAGGGTGCGAGCAGCTGGGCGAGAGCAGAGGTGACTCGGTCTCCTCCCGGAACGGCCCCGCGTTGCCGTCTGTTTGCTTTTTGAGGGCCCAGCCGCCCTGCTCTAGACGTCAGAGACTGTTGATGGGAGGAAGGAGAGCGAAAGCGCGTGTCTGTTTCCTGGTCTAGGAGGCCCGTTTCGGGTTCCTCGCATTGGTTGTGATATTAGTGGTCTGTGGGTTTTTCATGAAAGAGCCTTGTCAGGCTGAGGTGTACATTCCGTTCCTGATGTGATGATTTGTGTTTTAGTATCGCAGACGTCATGGAAGTTTTTGTGAACTAGGTTTTCTGTGTCTATCGGGATACTTTGTGGGCTTCCCCCATGTGTATTCTGTTCCGGGAATGATTGCTTTTGTAGGGTAGCCACCCTTGCATTTCCGGAGTAACTGTCAGCTGCGCACAGTGTGCTAAGCTTTGGTTGTGCTTCTGGATGTCGTCTGGTAATATTTTGTTGAGGCATGTGACACATTCGTGACGGGTATGTGTGTGCCATTTTCCTTATGATGTGCTTGTGTTGGATGTTGGGATAAGGCTGGCCTGATGGAATGAAATGGAAGGATTTTCCTCTTCATCTCCTTTTGGAAGGGTTTGCGAATCACGGATTTTAATTATCTTTTCCATGGGAGTTCTCACCGGTGGAGCCATCTGGTCCTGGACTTTTCTTCATGTCTGTTTGGTTTGTTTGATTTGGTTTCCCTGCTACTACAGTCTCTTTGCACATGGCTGGCTCGTTTAGGATGTCTATACCACTTTACATTCCCACCAGCAGTGGATGAGGGTGCCTTTTCCCCCACATCCTAAGGCTATTGTAGTATTGATTTGTATTTCCCTGACGGCTAGTGATCCTGATCAGTTTTGCCTGTGTGTGTTGGCCATTTATATTTCCTTTACTGAAATATTCCTGTTGAAGTCCTTTGCCCTTTTTTTTGAGTGGGTGGTTTGTTTTGCTGTTGTTGAGTTTCTTGAAAGTTTCTGGTAGTTGATCCTTTATCAGTTGCATGCTTTGCAGATAATTTCTCCCTTTCTGTTAGTTGCCTCTTCACATTGCTGAGTGTTTCTTTTGCAGTGCAGAAGCTTCTCTGTTTGTTGTTGTTTTCCTCTTCTATCCCTTTCTTTAATCATGTGTGATTCTCAGATATTGAACATCCTTGGTTAAATTTATTCCAAGCATTTTATTTATTCTGTAATTATGTGGACAGGATTGGTCTCAGAAGTTCTTTCTCAGCCATGACCTTGTTTGTGTATAAAAAGGCTATTGATTTTCTGTCCTGCCATTTTACCAACCTCTAGTCTTTGTTTCAATAGTGGAATCTTTTGGATCTCATGTATATAGAATCATGTCATCTGCAAATAGGGATAGTTGGACTTCCTCCCTACCAATTTTTATCTAACACTGAGAAATGAGTGGGAAAGTACCAACATGATAACATGCTCATGGAAAAAGTCAGATGCTATCTTTCTGTATTCTCTCTTGCTTTGTGGAAGACATGATTTGTCCTGTTTCAAACATGATCCATACATTAAATGCAGGGCTAGACTGTGGAAGGTGGGTATTGGGAAGTAGACCTGTTCAGTGGAGAACTGTGTAGATCACAGGTGTTTCAACTCCTTGTGTGAGTGGGTACATAAGTGTTGAATAAATAAATTACAAAGATTTCCTGGTGTGTAAGTCAGAGGTAAACCACACAGAATGTTTTAAGGAAGAAGACAATGAATGGTTACCTGAATGTTTTCTAAGACGGAGTTAAATACTTTTTCAAATTCTGTGTTAATAGGGTATTTAATGCATACAGTTGCAAATTTGACATAGCTCTAGTAGATGGCCTTGATGTAGTATTTCATTTATAGCTATATCTCCCTTTTTAAAAATTTTTACTTCTTCTCAAATATCTTGTTATTTGAAATTCATAGTTATACACAGAGAGGATAAGATGCAGAGAGAGAAAGAGAAAGAGAGAGAGAGAGAGAGAGAGAGAGAGAGAGAGACAGATAGGTTTTCCATCTGCTTGTCCACTCCCTAGTTGGCTGCAATGGCCAGAGCAGAGCGAATCCAAAGCCGGGATCCAGGAGCCTCCCCGGGATCTCCTGCATGGTTGCAGGGGCCCAAGGACTTGGGCCATCTTGTACTGCTTTCCCAGACCACAGCAGAGATCTTCATCAGAGTGGAGCAGCCAGGACTCGAACCAGCGCCCATATGGGAAGCCAACACTGCAGGCAGTGGCTTTATCTGCTACCCCACCGTGCCAGGCCCTCCCAGAAGCCATTCCCCGTGTGATCCAGCTGGCTGCTAACATGACTCAGAAAGCAGACGGAGATGGTCCAAGGTCTTAGGCCCCTGAACCCAGAATTGAGCACTGGATAAAGTCCGTGGCTCCTCTTCCCAGACCTTGAGCACTGAGAGGAACTGGAATGTTGCTGTGTGACAGAGGCCTCCTGCAATTTCTGTGAGCTGTACTGAGTCCCCATGACTCTGCTTCATGTTTCTTTGGTACTACACTTTCAGAACTGTACTGGCAAATGACTTTGGGGACAGTCTGTTCTTGCTCTGTTGCTGCTCTGAGCCTTCAATCAAGGTCCACACAAGGCCAATGATAGAAATGTTGCATCCAGAACAGCCCCCTTATTACTAAGATGACCTCCAGGCCCCATAAATGGATCTTGGATCAGAGGTCAAGACTTTCTGTGCAACTTGAACATTTCCTGCCTTGGGAAGTTCACTGCCCCCACCCCCAGGACATGTTCTGAGCTGCTTGGTCCTAGGTGTAGAGGCTCTGGCCGCTGGGAATGTTGTACTGAGTTGACTTCTGAGTGTCCAGATGCCAGAAAACATGTAACAGAGTTCCGCAGATCTGTGCGACCACTTGGATATCCAACTGTGATGGGAGGCACACATGGTGGATTTGTGAGTGCTACTTCAGGGTGGAGCTGAGTGCTTCCTGTGGGGAATGTGGGATCTTGCTGGGATGCCAGGATGGCACAGCAACCCATGTTGCTCTGGTGGCTCTCGCTGAATCTGTGTGTAGCTTAGATGGTAAAACTGTGTCTTTTCACTAGTATGGAGCAGACCCTCAGAAGGGTGGGGAGATGGTCTTATGAGAACTTAATGCTGCCGGCGCCGCAGCTCAATAGGCTAATCCTCCACCTGCGGCGCCGGCACCCCAGGTTCTAGTCCCAGTCAGGGCGCCGGATTCTGTCCCGGTTGCCCCTCTTCGAGGCCAGCTGTCTGCTATGGCCCAGGAGTGTAGTGGAGGATGGCTCAAGTCCTTGGGCCCTGCACCCGCATGGGATACCAGGAGAAGCACCTGGCTCCTGGCTTTGGATCAGCGCAATGTGCCGTCCACAGCGCGGCAACCATTGGAGGGTGAACCAACGGCAAAAGGAAGACCTTTCTTTCTCTCTCTCTCTCCTCTCTCTCTCACTCTCACTCTTACTGTCCACTCTGCCTGTCAAAAAAAAAAAAAAAAGAACTTAATGCTAGGGCTGGTGCTGTGACACAATGGATTAAAGATTTGGTCTGCAGTTCTGGCATCCCATGTGGGTGCTAGTTCGTGTCCCAGCTGCTCCACTTCCGATACAGCTCTCTGCTATGTCCTGGGAAAGCAGCAGAAGATGGCGCGAATCCTTGGGCCCCAGCATCCACATGGGAGACCCAGAAGAAGATTCTGGCTCCTGGCTTTGGATCAGCTCAGCACTGGCCATTGCAGTCATTTGGGGAGTGAACCAGCTGTTGGAAGACCTCTTTCTCTCTCTCTCTGACTTTACCTCTCTATGTAACTCTTTCAAATAAATAAAATAAATGCTTTTAATGAAAGAAGTCAATGATAATCTGTGCATTTGTTTTAACTTGGAAAGGAAATCTCATTCCTCTGCTTCAAGTCAGCTTGCAATTCAGGAACGGCAGCATTTTTGTGCATTTGGAGAATCTCTAGGCTTCTTGTTTCTTCTCTACTGGCTTCTCCCTTGAAATTATCATGTAGCATCATCCTTTGCTCTGTTAGGATCCATTTTTAAAACCATGTTTTTTCTCTTCTTCATGAGGATACTTCAGAAAGTTTATGGAAAATGGAATAAAAGATAACTTTGTTTTGGTATAAAATTTTTTTGAAACTCATGCATTTTTTTGTAATACATATTTTTCATATAATGTTTGAAGATCCCACGTGTATCCTAACAAGTCTTTACAAATCTTTATTTTTTTTTTGACAGGCAGAGTGGACAGTGAGAGAGAGAGACAGAGAGAAAGGTCTTCCTTTACCGTTGGTTTACCCTCCAATGCCGCTGAGGCCGGCGTGCTGTGGCCAGTGCACTGTGCCAATCTGAAGCCAGGAGCCAGATGTTTCTCTTGTTCTCCTGTGTGGGTACAGGACCCAAGGACTTGGGCCATCCTCCATTGTACCCCTAGGCCACAGCAGAGAGCTGGACTGGAAGAGGGGCAACCGGGACAGAATCTGGTGCCCCAACTGGAACTAGAACCCGGTATGCCAGTGCTGCAGGTGAAGGATTAGCCTATTGAGCCGCGGTGCCGGCCTACAAATCTTTGTGATTGTCTTGTTCCTTTAGTTATTAGGAATAAGTTATTTTGTTAGGTTGAAATTAGCTTATTTGAATTAGTGACGGATCTTATTTGCTGTGACATAAAGAATTCCTTTATGGATAATTAAAGCAATTTTAGTGGTGTGATCTAAAGGAGAAAACAATATTGCTCGAGCTATTAACACCAGGGGACTTCTTGCTGACCTCTTACAGTGCCCTGTAGACTGTACATTATTGCACTCTTGAGGATCCAGGGGCTGAAGTCTGACCTGAAGTTATTAAAGAGAATGCCCCATGTGCAAAAGTCATAAAAAAGCAGAGAAATAGAGAAATATAAGTAGCAATAAATGAGAATACAGAAAAGACTTCTAGAATTGAACTGACCACAAGGTTTGCTGGGATTTTTTGAGCAGTACAGCACTAGGTTGTCTGTATTGGGCACCAGGTACAATCACTACAGACTTGTGAAATTAAAAACTCTATGAAGTTCTGCAGAATTGTGTTTGAGACTCACTAATAGGACCCAACCTACAAGGAATGCAGATGAGACAGAGCATCTCTGACCTTAACAGTAGCGATGTGATTGGTCATTCTTTACTTTCCGTTTATATTGCTATAGCAACTTTAAAATGCCTTTTATTTAAAAACCTGAGGAAATGTATGTAAAAAGTCTTTTGGCAATCTTTTGTTATCAGTAAATTCACCATCTTAAGTTTATTATAACTTATTGAACCCGTGGTACTAGGAACTGGATAGAACTTTGCAGTATTAGAATACAATTTGCTGCTTGCTTGAACCTGAGGGAGTTGGAGCTTACCCAGCATAATTAGAAATGTAGCCTCTATTTGAAGCCTTGGCAAGAACAATAATTTAGGATTGTGGCTTTGTGGCACTGGTAGAACATGTTGTTCAGTCCTGAGTTTGGACACCTTGTTTGTATATGACAGAAAAACAGCTTTCAGAAACTTGCTGGCGGATAAAGTGTCCATTTCACAATCTGGTGGTTTCATTGCTTTTTTTCTAAAGGTTTCATTTTCCCTTCAAGTGCTGGCATGTTCATTTTATCAAAGCTGGCATTTTCTCATCTTTAAAAGTAAATCTTGAGTATGTGCTAGGGAATATACAAGCATGTTGTGTGAGCATAATTACAAGGATGAACTGCTTTGCTTTTGAGTAGTAATGGACCAACCCTTGATGTGATAAGAAACATAGTTTTTATTCTATCTTGTGGTTCAAAGCCTGCTTACTACTGCTCCTGATCATAATCTTAGTCCTTTTTGTCAAACGGGTTAAAGTCCAGCCCACCTTTTTATCCACCTTCTCTCTGAAAAGCAGTGGGAGATAGAGCAAATTTTTAAAAATTGATGTATTTATTTGTGAGGTAGAGTTACAGACAGAGGTCTTCCATCCACTGGTTTGCTGCCTACATGGTTACAGTGGCCAGAGCTGAACCGATTGAAAAGCTGGAGCCAGGAGCTTCTTTGAGGTCCCCTACATGGTTTCAGAGGCCCAAGAACTTAGGCTATCTACTGCTGCTTTCCCAGGCCATAAGCAGAAAGCTGGATTGGAAGAATAGCATCCGGGACACGAACCTGCACCCATAAGGGATGCTGGTGCTGCAGGTGACAGCTTTACCTAATTTACCACAGTGTTGGCGCACAGAGCAAATTTTTAAGTCAGAGCATTTGATTCTAATTCTGCATTCTGAGGACAAAACTTAATTTCTCCATGCCCTAGTTTCGTCTTCTGTGAAAGCCAAAGTACTTCTTAGAGAGTATTCGTGGGTGTAAGTTAAATGTAATGCTCCTGAGAAGCTTAAAGCATATACGTGATGACCTCTTTAGACTTAACAGTGATTTAAAAATGTTTCTCAAAGGACATCATGTTAAGTGAAAATAAGCCACTTGAGATTTAATAACGATTTAAACATGTTTCAAAAGGATATGATGTTAAGTGGAACAGGCCAGACAGATAAATACTTCCCATTATCCCTCAGAAGTGGAAGCTAAAAACCTCAGTTTGAACACAAACGATGTTTATTCGAAGATGGGCGGTGGGGATAGAGGGAGTTGGATAACACACACCAAATCAGAGTTTGATCAAAAACCCCATCCCTGGTGTTCAGGCATGGCTGGCTGACTGTATGTCACAGTAACTCATTATGGGTTACATGAACAAGCAGAATGGGGCTGTTTCAGGACTCCAGTATCCAAAAAGTGGTATCAGGCAAAGGAATGTTGGCTACCCTGATTTTAGCGGTAGATATTGTATATGCGTTTGGAAATGTCACACCGTAGCCCATGAAGATTTATGATTATTATTAACAATAAAGTATGTCAAAATTCAAGGGTTTTTAAAAATATTTTAAAATATTTATTTATTTATTTGAAAGTCAGAGTTACAAAGAGAGATGAGAGGCAGAAAGAGAGAGAGAGAGAGAGAGTGAGTGAGTTCTTCCTTCCGGTGGTTCACTCCCTAATTGTCTGCAATGGCTGGAGCTGCGCCGATCCGAAGCCAGGAGCCAGGAGCTTCCTTGGGGTCTCCCATGTGGGTGCAGGGGCCCAAGGACTTGGGTCATCTTCTACTGCTTTCCCAGGCCATAGCAGAGAGCTGGATCAGAAGTGGAGCAGCCGGGTCTTGATCTGGTGCCTATATAGGATGCCAGCACTTCAGGCCAGGGCGTTAACCCACTGCACCACAGCACCAGCCCCCAAAAGATATTTTTGAAAGGCATAATTACAGAGAGGGAGAGAGAGAGAGTCAGACAGACAGGAATTGAGGGAGGGAGAGAGGGAGAAGGGGTATCTTCGACCCTCTGGTTCACTCCTCAAATGGCTGTAGTGACTGGAGCTGGGTGCATCTGAAGCCAAGAGCCAGGAGCCAGGTTTCCCATTAGGGGTTGCTGGAGTCCAAGAGTTGGGCCATCCTCTGCTGCTCTCCCAGGCACATGAGCAGGGCGCTGGATTGGAATCGGAGTACCAAGAATCAAACTGCTGCCCATATGGTATTCTGGCACCACAGAAGTCACCACTACACCACAGCGCTCGCTCCTAAGTTTTTTGTTTGTTTTGTTTTCGCTTTTAATTCTTCCTATGGCTTTATCCATGAGCAGAGGATAGGGCAAGTGTTCCCAGCCTCATTGGGTCAGAAGTAAATAAAGTCTGAAATAATGGCTGCATTTGTTCATCTGGAACGTGATACCAGAGCCCAGAAATTTAGTTTTATAAATATTGAAAATGTTTGGCTCTAGGGTTTAAATGAAATTAGGATCTTTTTTTGTTATTCTGAATGTGTTTTACTTGTCCCTAAAGTGTGCACATTACAAAATTATGATTTAGAAAGTGGAAGTTGAAAAAAAGAAAATGGAAGTTACCCCTCAGTTCTATTTGGAGATGTCCAAGGCACTGTTGACAGTTTTGTGTGCCCCTTTACAGGTGCTTTCCCTGCATTAATAAAAGTGTGTGTTTGTGTTTGTGTGTGGAGGGGTATTTGTATGTGTACAGTGCTCACATGCACATAGAAATGACTTTGTGCAGAACTGTGCTCTTAATAGGATGGTTTTCCATCTTCCCTTTTATACTTGCCAGTATAGTAATTTTTGTATCATTATAAACATATAGATCTAATTCTCTTCAGTGGCTGTATAAGATTACATTGTATTCCAACATAAGTGGTTGCTATTTTAATGAGAATTCTGATTTTTCACCATTAAAATAATACTGCAGTGAGAAACCTGGAATATCCATACCTGAGCATCCCTGGAACTGCTGTTTTGATGACCTGTGTTATTTGAGAATCACTAGGTCAAGTACAGTCCTGTTTAACATGTTGCTAGGTCCTTCTAAATTATCCTCCAGGGATAATTGCATCCATCTACACTTCCACAAACAGTGAGGTAAATTTGTGCTTTCCATCAACACCAGGTTTTTGTAATTCACATTCCTTTCAGTGATGCATCTCTGCTTTGGCACAAGACATCTGGAAGGGGAGAGCTGCCCTTCCATCACTGCCTGTTGGCACACCAAGGGCAGGCAGTGTAGAGGAGTCTGTTAAAGCTAACAGGGAGGTGAGCATCTGCAAAGCTAGAAACAGAGGTGTTTGGCTTCCATTCCTGTTTATTAATTCAGATAATGTTTATTGAAAGCTGTTACTGGCCAGGGACCCTGGGAATAGCATGATAAACAAGACCACACTCTGCCTTCACAAGCTTGCATTCTAGAGTGGGTCAGCCTTGAACACATCCAGTAGGATATAATGTCAAATATGGTGGAGACTTCAGATGAAAAATAAAGCAGAGAAAAGGACAAGGGAGGAGGTGTGTGTAGGGAGACCAGGTGCAGGAGAGGATGCCACTCGGATGGTCTTGGAAGGTTCTCTGCTGATGGGACTCTTGAATACAGACCCACATGCAGTAAAGCCTGAGCCCCACTGATAACCTGTAGAAGCCCACTGATAACCTGTAGAAGGCCCCATCCAGCTGGGTCTGGCAATAGCAAGTACAGAAGGCCTGAGAAAAGAGCCAGTAAGGCAGGTTCCAGAAGAAGCCCAGGAACTGCACTGACTTTTGATTTGCTAGAGGGAGATAATTGAGCTACTTACTTTCTTTGTCAAATGCCGTGTTCAGGCGAATGAAACTGTGAACGGCATGTGTGTCTTTGAAAGAGTGAGGCTGTTCATGTACAGCAGCACTTGAACCACTAGAACGCAGCATCTTAACCACTAGACAGGAAGTCTCTGTCAGCATTCTGTAGAATGAAGTGGCGTTGCATGCCAGCTCTCTCTACCACAAGGCGGACTTTGTTGAAATTTACACAGGTGTTGAACAGACCTCCGCACCTTCAGTGTGGAAAAGACAAGAGCAGTGCACTCTTGTGCCTGACTTCCCTTCGTTCTACCTCTTTGTGTTGTACATTATTAAATGTGCTTTCAAAGCTCTGGTGCTC